TGAATCCGGCTGTTTGTCAGCGGCGTTTTTGTGGTGATGTATGGACAGGGTGGGCTGCTGGCAAAGCTTCCCTCACTCCTCCCCCTCGGAGCCAATGCTTGGTGGCGAGGGAGAGGGAAGGTCATGGGATTTCCAGAGAAGGAGGCTGAAGAAAATTATGTTAAGGGGAAAATTCAAGCCTGAAAAAGGGTATTTTACAAAGTGCACCACTGCTGCCCTGCAGCCAGCTCGAGCCAAGTGGGACCTGCCTGGCAGGGAAGTGTCATCACTGAAAGGACATGTCTCTGATTTATAGCAAAAGTCAAAGTGCCCATGATTTCAGCCCAGAAGAGAAGTAAAAATAAAAATCTCCCAGTATCTGTGTGATGTTGATGCTTGGAGGAGCATCCCAGGAGGCTGGCGGGATGGGATCCTGGCAAACCTTGGGAGAGTCACCTGGGCCCATCATGCAGTCATTTTTCAGGCTCACACACCCCACAGGGCTTTGGGAGCTTTGGGATCTCTCAGGGGAGAAGCATCTTTCTATGAGGAGAGTCAGTGGTCAGGAGGGAGACCAGCAGTGATCTGCAAATCCTTGTTTTTCTGTGAGGTGTGCTGCTGTCTCCGGGAAAATGAAACTTCAGAAGGTCTCACATCTTTACACAGAGGATAGGGGGGAAAAAAAACCAAAAAAGCTGTGAAACCTGGACTTTCTCCACACCCCCTCCAGCAAAGGAAACCTCTGGCTCTGAAAGCTTCCTCCAAGGCACCTTGTGCAGAACAAGGGTGTCAATCACAGGGTTTTGTCTTGCTCTTTCAGGATCCAGATCAAAACTCACTGAAGACAAAATCCTTTTCACAGACATCCGTGGCAGGTTTTTTCATCGCACTGTTATTTTCCATTTAGGAATCTGATCGAATTAAACCTTCCAACCCCTCCACAAGGGAGAAAGAGAGGAACAGCGAGTACTGAACTGTCTCCTGCAAGCTTCAGGGAGAGACTCAGAGCAATTTAGCACTAACCATTAGTACAGAGGAGAGCCACTGTGGGGTCTGATTCTCTTCCCACCTGCACTGATGCTAATCAGGTGTAACTCCACAGACAAGACTGCAAGGCCAATGGCAGAGTCAGGCCCCTCTATCCTTTCTACCTTCATAACATCACTAAATACCCTGTTTTCCAACCAAGCTGAAGTGGGAATTTGTAGGAATAATAACGATGATTAATCATGATTTGCACTTTTCAGGCATTTTTCTTCTTGGGAACTCATAGTTCTTCTGAAACCGAAATTAATTATGCTTTATAACCCCTCTCTTGAGTAGGTCAAGGAGAGTTAGGGGCCATTTCCACCTCCCATGGAAGCAAAGGGAATGTGTGAGCAGCTCAGAGCTGCCCAACCCTCCAGCACAGGCTCAGAGGAAGGACCTGGCACTGAGCAGAGACCACAAGAGGCTCTGGGGAGCAGCAAAGCACCAGGGGCTGGGATGATCCTGAGATTCCCAATTCCATTCCAGCAAAATGAGTCTTGGACTATAGCTGGGAGTGAATTGTTTCTCTTGTGAGAGATGCATAAAGTAGTAATATTAATAATGATATTATTTATCTGCTTCCAGAGTGGAATATAATGAGACCTTTTTAATTTTCTTGTAACACTTAAGGGAGAGTTGCCTGTGCTGCTGATCCAGTGTGCTGGTGATAAAGAGGGATAACTGAGCTGTGAAAGATTCAGATTCATTTCACCTCTTCTTCTAATTAAGAGCAAGGATTTGAAGCAGGTTCTCTGAAGAACCAGGTGAACATCTCCCTCCAGAGCTTCTCAGCTGTTCTGCTCCCACTTTCTCTCTTCTCCTTTCACAGAAATTTGACCCAAAGTATGAGAAACCTTTTCCAATAAAAAGTCATGAAATCAGGCAGAGCCCCCCTGAGCTTTGGACCCCAGAGCCTGCATTTCACACCAGCACAGAAACACCGAACCTTTCTCAGCTGTTCCTTCTAATCAGGCCCCTCATTCCTTATCCTGGAGGAGCTGAAAATACACTAAAAGACAGTAGCTTATTTCACAAGTGCTCAATTAATTCAGAGAAAGCCTAAAAACAGCAGAAACCTCAAATTTCACGGGTCCTGTTGGCTGTGAAGGAGCTTAGGAAAAGCACAGCAACATGAAACCAAGGCATGCAAGCTAAAAAGTTCCCAGCAGGCTGAGTCACTGCAGGAAGGCTCCTCTGTGCCGTGGAAGCTCAGCAAACCCCAAACCTGTCTTCTCAGCCCAGATTTCATCTCCTCCCTCCTCGTCCTGCCTCCACGTTTGCAGCTGGCCACAAATGAATCCTTGGCAGTTTTATTCAGTTCGAGTTTGGTTTCCCCTGGTGAGTTCAGTGGGGTCACAGTCTGTTTGAGCACAAGAAGTATGGGAGAGAGCAGAGAAATGAGGAGAGAGGAGGGAGTTGCAGTCCCAGGGAAGTCCCCCTGCAGTCAGTGGGGCTGCTGCAGGTGATGGACCCACCAGCCCTCCCCAGGGAACACCCAAGAGCAACAACCTCGCTGTGAATTAATGGCACTGTAAGGTGACAAACAGACCATTTAGTGAAAAGGGGAGCCCTCCTGCTCATGCATCTTGAGGTGTTTGAGGGGGGATCTCACAGAATCACAAACTCATGCTAAAGCTCCCCTTGGCACTTCACCAACAGCTCAGCCCACCTGGCCAAGAACTGGGGTTTAAAGGAGGTAAATCAAGAAATAAGCACAAACTCAGTGTGACTGAAGATGCACCAAACATACAGCACAGGGAAGGCTGTCCTCCCATCCAGGATGTGCCCAATCAGACCTCAGAAGAGCTGCACAAGCAGCAGAATGCTGGTACATGTGTGTAGCAGAGACAAATTCTCCTCTGCACACACACATGTGCACTCACAGCCTCCATGGATCCCACTCCATAAGTAAGTGATGGTGAGAGTTGAGGTGCTCCATGTGCCTCTCTGCTTTTGGGGTGTCATGGGAAGGGAGAAAAGAGATGAGAGACAGAGCTGGAAGCAAGAGAGGAACCCACACCTGGACATTCTCACCCTGCAGGGAGCAGGTATTGCTGTCCTCAGGCACAAGCAACTGCCTTAATAAATTCAGGCTTACAGGTATTAGGGGACAGGCCTTCATTTGGTTAATTTTCAAGGTTCTTCCTATCTCTTGCCAGCAGCACCAGTGCCTCAAGGCTCCTTGGGAAGGCCCAGGCAGCCCCTTTCCAGCCTTATTTGCCTGTCTCAGACCAACTTGTTTGCTTAAAGGCATCACTGCATCTGCCATGAGACCCCCCTGCACCTGAAGGAGGCAGCCAGGGCTGAATCCCTGAACTCCTGGCTTTGCACAGCAAATCCTCAGAGCACCCCTGTAACCTCTTTTTGCCTCCAACTTCTCCCCTCCATCCAGTCTCTCTGAATTCAAGGCACGTAACCCGTGGACCAGCAGGATACCCCACAGACATCTATTCAATCACAGGTGAGCAGCTGAAAAAAGTCAAACTAGAAAATAATCTATAGATACATACATGTTTATATGCAAATATTTATATGTATTTATAAATACACATCCATTTATAAACAAAGTTATAAATTACAATTCATCCAGACCTGAAAATTACATCTGCCTGCTGCTCTTGCCACTACAAATGAAAATCTAAGCACAGTTGGGCCAAAAGTTGCCCCACTGAAGATTTTTCAGGCCATGGATGTTATTCAATGAATACAAAGGAGCTTGAAGGAGTAGGACAATTTCACTTATATTTTATTGCTACTTTGCCATTTATTTTGACTTTCTTTTTGGACTCTTACCACATTATCACTTGTAAAAAGCTCTAAAAGTCAAGATGGAAGTGTAAGAGTGAGATATCAACTACCAAAGCCAAAACAGCTCAACACTGGTGATAATTATTCTAAATGAAAATATTTCTCCCCAGATTATTCTGTTTCCATAGAGAGGGAAAAAAAAAGTTTTATTCTACTTAGAAATTAAATAAGTCCTGGGAATTTCACAGGACATAAAATCTGATTTCAGTTCTATTCTACTTGCTATCTCCTCACACGCTGATGCAAACTTTCCCTACACATTTCCAAACACCAGCCCCAAGTGCCATCCACATCTATTCCTGGGAATATTCTACTCCACACAGAGCCAGTGCTGTGAGGAAAACACTGAGGCTCCTGCCAAAATGCACCCAAGCCTGTATTTCATCCAAAATTTCATTTCTATATTTAGTTTTAGTGCAGTTCCTACTGCAGCAGTTCTGGCAACGTCCCCACTAGCTTTTCTGAAGTTGAAAATTGAACAGTGCTTAAAAGCAGCAGAAAAAAAAAAAAACAAAACACAAAAACAAAAATAAAAAGCCAAAAAAGCTAAAAAGATGAAAGCACAGTGTGGCTTGGATGCTCCAGGCCCTCTGCCTGCAAATCCTGCACAGCTGGGACAGAAACACAGACAGCTAAGGCTGGAGGGGCTGTGTGTTTGAAATGGGTGACACACCCATTTTCAGGGCCATTTTTGGTGGTCAGGTGGCACATTTTGGTCAGGGCCAAAAATATAATGCTTGTTTTAGGAGGTTTTTGTGTTTTAGAAGCTGCTCAGTGGAGTAGTGATGATTTCCCTGAATACAGATTGATTTACAAGGGCATGTAGGGATAGGACAAGGGCTTTAGACTGGCAGAGGGCAGTGTTGGATATTAGGGGAAAATTTTTCCCTGTGAGGGTAGAGAGGCCCTGGCACAGGTATCCCAGAGGAGCTGTGGCTGCCCCTGGATCCCTGGAAGTGTCCAAGGCCAGGCTGGACAGGGCTTGGAGCAACCTGAGCTGGTGGAAGATGTCCCTGCACATGGCAGAGGGTTGGAATTAGAACATCCTCAAGGTCCCTTCCAACCCAAACCGTTCTGTGACTTAATCATTTAGCTGAAATAACCCCAAGCAGCTTTGTCTGGGGTCAACCAACCAACCACGCAGCTCCTCCCCCCAGGACCAAGAAGGGAAGAGTCCAACAAACCCCAGCGCTGCCGGGGGGAGGCGAAGCTCAAGAAACCCTCGGCGCTGGCAGAAACCGAGCCTGTTCCCCCTCTCCCCGGCGCGGTAAGTGGCTCTGTACCATCCCCACGCCGTTCCCGCATCCCAGCTCCGCATCCCCGCATCCCCGCGCCGCCCACCCGCGGCCGCCCGTCTCCCGTGGAGCTCCGACGCCACCTGCCGCGCACGGGGCTCGCTGAAACCCTGGTCCCAAGGCCACTAAGTCCGGCCGAGAGACCTCCAAGCCCCTCCCCAAACCTGCTCTCAGTCAGTACAGGAGGGAATTGAGAAGCTGCTGGAGTGAGGATGCAGCCAGCCTGCTCCTGGGACAACCAGAAAGCACCATGGACCTTGATTATATATATATTTATATTTATATTTATATTTATATATACATATGCATACCTATATATGTATATTAATATTTTTTTAATGTGGATTTGAAGGATTTTCTCAAAATCCTAGAGGAAATCCGCCACAGGAAGAGCAGATGGAGATAGGAGGGAGGGCTGATCCTGATGCAATGTGTCCCGAAATGCAACAATGTTGAGGCTTCACTAAGGTGTGAGAAAACTTTGTGTAGTGCTCTCTCTCTGTCAACCCCTCTGCTCCTGTGCAAGGCTTGCTGCTCTTTTTGGGGTTATCCCTGCACTGTCTGTGGGGTTGGGGAGCCCTGCAGGGAGACTGGAGGAGTGATGTCCATGCAGATGTTTTACTTTGCATGGAAAACCAAGGATTTCTTCATGGAGGGGGCTTTCCCTGTGATCTCTGTGTGTTTGCTGGGCCAGGGTGGCTCTCACACTCCTCTAAACTTTATTTCAAAGCCCTCAGCTTAGCCCAGCCTGTGGCATCCCACTGCTGTCCTCTGCTCATGCCCACACTGGAAAAAATGAGGGAGTGGGAGCCCGGCAAGGGAAAACCAGCAAAGCAGGATTCATCTTCCCCATTATCCATTTTATTGGCTAATAAAGGACACTACAGGTTCCCACCCGAGAAATGCTGGGCAGCCTGAGCCCCCTTCACCCCACACATGCCAGATGTGGGCTGCAGGATGGCACAGGGAAGAGATTTTTAGGCAAAGCCCCAGGGAGAGCCAGGGCTGGAGGCAGGAGCCAGGCAGGCAGGCTCAGGGAGCTGCTCAGTCCGGAGAGTGTCACAGGGTCACAACCGCAGTGACTGCAGCCAAAAATACAGAGAGGGCAAGTCTGAAACAAGCTTTGTGAGCTTTAACTGCTGCAAGGAACAAGGGGCCCCCGGAAAGGCACTGATTGAAATGGTTCGAGGTCAGAGTGTCTGAGCAGCGCTGTTGCTCTGGGAAGACTTGGTGCTCCACGGCACCTCTCGCTCCAAACAGGGCTGGCAGGGAGCAGCAAAACACAGTTTGCACTGAGCAGAGCTCATGCTGGGCAGCTACAGCACAGTCCTAGTCACAGGTGTAAAGAATTCACAGGTAGATGGTTGAAGAAGGAGGGATCTTCAGCACCATCCCTTTGCAGGATCAGGCCCTCACGCAAACACAGAAATCCTGGGCACCCTGGCAATGCTGGAGAAGGACAAGACTGGGATGTGGGGACTGTGTGGGGAACAGGGAGCCCATTGGTGTCCAGGTGTGCTGCCTGGAAGTCATCAGTTCTTCTATTTCATGCAGCATTGACAGCTCTGAAAGGCTGGTCAAGAAACTACACAGAGGACCTCTGCTCTTGTTGCTTTCAAGGGATTTAGAAGAGTTGACTTAGTTTGTAGGAAAAAAATCAATTTCAATCCCAAAGTTTGCTTGTAATTTTTTTGGGAAACGAAGGAGAAAAAAAAAAAATCCTACTCCATTCAGAACAATTTGTTGGAAGTATTTCTTTGAAGCAACTCTATGCTTCATGATTGGTTTTGAAGGGGAAAACAACCTTAACCCAACCCACACAGCAACCTGCCCAGCTTTCCACACAACCTCTGCAAAACAGGGGATAATAAACACTCCTTTATCCAGCAGGCACGTTAGTGAGGCTTCATTAACTCTGAGGCTCAATTAAAGTCTCTAAAAGGCTTTGAGCTGCTGGACCAAAAGGCTCTATGAAAATTAATTTAGTGCTTTTGTATCTGCTCAGCACCGGGACAGAGAGATGCTGTGTCCCCCCAGAATGGGTAAGGAGGTGATATCTGGAGAGGGGAGGCAATGGCTTGTCTAAGGGCACAGACTGGTCCCAGTGAGGAGGAAGGAGCCCTGATTTTTAAGCCCTGGATTTCCTGGCTTGCAGCTGCAAGCTGAGAACAGCCCGCTCATCTCTTCCCAGCTGGAACATTTGCCTAGCTCGGGAGCCTGATGAGACAGTTTGAAGTAGGAAGGGGGGTTTAATTGCACATTTTATGGCTGCTAAGAGTCCCCCTGAGCCAAAGAGGCTGCCTGCTGCACGGGCAGAGAGTCAGGGGCAGAGAGGCACGTCCAGGCTGAGCGGCGCTCGGAGAATCCCCGGCCGCGCGAAGGGACACTCAGATAAATGCTACCCCCCTGCCTCGTGGCAGATTTACCAGGCTGTTTGCATCTCCAGTGTAAATCCAGGGACTTAGAGATAAACCCAGTCCATAGCAAGGAATTGTTTCAACAAAGCAGGGCCTGTCAGGAGCAGGGTTATGTTGACAGAGTGGCAGTCCCTGCCATGCCAGCTCTTGGTGTCCTGCAGCTGGAGCCTTTATTTACACAGCCCTCTCATCCGAGCATGAGGCACTGTTTCCCAGAGGCAAGGAGTTAGTAGCAGATATGGTGCCTGGGGTCATTCCTCCCCAGACAAAGGGGTTATTCCTCTCTTATTTAACTTCATGGCATTCCTGCTGGCCCATTTCTCCAGCCCATCAAGGTCCCCCTGAATGGTACCACAACCATCTGCTCTACATCACCTGCATCCTCACTGAGGGGCTCTCTGTGCCACTACCTGGGTCTTTAATGAAGATGTGAAACAACACTGGTTTCAGGATTGACCTCTGGAATTCCCCACCAGTCCCTAGCCTCCTCTCCATGACCTGTGTGGGCTCGCAGTACCCAACACTGGGCACCTCACGGCCATTCCCATGGCTCCACCTGGCCAATCTGCTTGAGACCCTCCAGAGGCAGACCAGGTTTATCCTCCCTCCTATAAAGATGGGGGAAACGGGAACCAAAAGCAGGGAAGTTCCCGCTGGGTTTGGAGTGACTGTCTCGGAGAAGCGGGATTGGGCATTGCTTGACCCTAAATATCCCTCCAGGAAGAAATTTCTGGTGCACTTTCCCAAAGGCCAGCAGCATATTAGTTTCAGAGCCAAGAAGTTTCTGCTCATAGCTCACAGCTTAAAGCAGGAGGCAGAGAAAGCAGCTCTTGAGACTTGAGCACTGCCTTAATAGAAGACACCGCAGTAAGGGAAATATTATATTAAATCTCTATATTTATATGTGTAACAAAAGTGGTATCAGCAAAATCCTGCAGCATCAAAGCAAATCACTTAGCTATTTTTAGCTGTGTGATTTAGTCACACACTCTGAGGAAATAAGGTCAGGTTCTTTGTGATGGATCCCTTTCTCCCCGTTTCTTGCTATTTTTTCCTGTCCTTATTAAAATTCCCCAGCCTGCAGCAGAGCTTTGGGAGGTGGAACCTTCACTCCATCCTCACCATCTGCAGGGTCAAGCTGTAGCCCTGTCCCAGTAGGAATCTGTCCTGCTGTCAGCGTGTCTGGATTGGAGGTAACAAAGGCAGTGCCAGGATTTGCATCCAAGCATCTCCAGCGCTGCTGGGGGGGATCTCAGAGCCAGTCCCACGGTGGTGAAAGGGAAATGCTGCCCCTGATGCCATCAGGGAGCTCATCTGGGAATGTCCAGCTGTGGGCACTGCTGCCTCCCTCTGCAGCCTTCAGCCAGAACCCTCTCTCTGCCTCAGTTCTCACAATTCCATCATCATGCTTTGGAATCTCCTTCAAAAACGTGCAGTTGCAAGCTGTAACAGGAGAAAATTAAGTCAGGGCTCCTTCTGAATGTCATTGGAAGACCAATTCCAGCAAATTATGGGGAAATTACTCTATTTCTTCAAGTATTTCATTACCCAGGATCTTTTTCTAGAAGTTGTTCTGGCAGCCATTTTTTATACTAAAAAATAAAAAAGCAATATTTTTAAATTTAAAAGAGAAACTACTGGTGAAAGTCCCATAAAGGAAACACTATTTTCTATAGAATTGTACAGCACCTCAACATCATTAGCAGTGAAAAACAAGTGATGAAATATAATTTAAGAAATTAAAATCCATTTATTTATTAATTTTCAGTGAGATTTTATTAGCTCTGTTTTCATTTTAGCTGCTACCAAGAAGTCTAGTCTGGGAAGCAATAAAACATTCATCTCATGATGCAGCTGAACTTTGAACTTCTTGGTCCAGCAAATAATAACCTTTTTGCTGCTTCTTTTTTTTTCAGTTTGATCATTCACTATTATTTAAACTGCAGCATTAACTGCTGTCTAATACACTTTGATATTTTCCCTGTCGAGCAAGGCCATGATTTATAGCCTTACTGCTCTACGAGTACAGCTCCTGATCCCTCAAAATTTCATTTTGCTTTGCAATCTACAGTAATACACATAAAAACATTAAAATTGGCTCAAACTTGATTTCTGGACCATGTGAAACCAAACTTGTTAGTAAGAAGATATAAAAACCTTCATCAGCTTAGTTTTTCAGTCAGTCTGAAGTCAACTGAAAATGTCTTCATTTTAATGATCTACAATTAAGAATAACCTAAAAATAATTTTGATTTTAGAAAGGCTTTCTAATTTTTTTAAAATTCTGAGAGTGTAAAATAGAGGACCCTGACCCTACAAAATATATTATTTCAGTTTCTGTAATCAAAATTATGCCAAGTTTGCAAAGATAAAAGTAACAATTAAAGAAATAATAATAAATAAAATATTTTCATTGGAAAGACTAATATTATCTACGAGGAATAAAAATGTTTCAATACTGCTTCCAATTTCAGATGGAGGATATAGTCTCTAGCCCTTAAAGTGTATTATTTTACAGACATGTATTGATATTTGTTCAAAACTAGATGCCTTTTTTTTCCTGTATTCATTATTTACCACTGAGAGAATGTATTTTCCTGGTGTAAATTATGTTGTTTTGGGTTCTGGGGCAGAGTTAAGGTTATTGTTGAAACTTTAATCAATACCTTTGATGCTTTTTGGCCTCTGTGTTTTTTGACCTGCTGATTCTATATTTGTTTAAATCTTGCCACTGAATAACAACAAAAGAAACCCTACTCTTTCCATGAATAACTGCAAGGTACTAATTATGTGCCTGTAAATTAATGGTCTATTTACTGCCTTAACCTATCTTAACAAAGATTTTGTTTGGGGATATATTACTAATGAAAAAGCCTTGACACCTTAATACTCTCCTGGGCAAATCGTTAGAATAGATTCCAAATGCAATTAAAGAAAGACTTTTTTTTAAAACCACTGTATTAGGAGATAAATAGGCACATTCTCCCCTCTGAATGCTTGTTTGTAAATCCACAGAATTCCCATTAACTCCATGCTTCTTGCCTCAGAACTGGGCTGCTGCAGGTGGACTTGGAGAAATGGTTGGGACAGGAGTAGGGGTTTGGTTTTGTTTTTATTTTTTGCATCCGAAGTGAAAAATTGAAATGAGGGAAATCCCCAGAGGTGGCAGCGGAGGAGGAAACACTGGAAGCAGAAATAGTGGCCTGGGGTTGGAATCTCCTCAAGGAGAGCTGGAGTGACTCTCTTCTCCCAGCCATTAGCAGGGATTTCTCCAAGCATCCACAGGTCTGGAAAAACTCCCCACTCAAATTTCCAAACATCTTTTCAAAGATCATTCCTGACTCTTGTGATCTTCTTGATGGTCTTGTGATTAGGGGAGAAAAGGGGGGATTTTCCTGCAGTTTCTAACCACTCACACCATGCCACTTCTTCAGGATCTTATAAAGGAGGAACTTTTTGACCTTTCGAGTCCCCAAGAGAAGTTTTGGAAAGCCAACCCTTCAAATGCAACCATTTGAGAAATATTTTCCAACAGAGCCACAGCTTGGGGAGGACATGACCCTTGAATTTCAAATGAAGGGAAATTGCCAGGTTTTCCTTTTCAGGTTCCCAGATCCTTTCCTGACAGTTTTCAAACCTGAGCTCTCCAAAATTTAACTTTTCTTTCCTTTTTTTTTTTTTTTTTCATATATGGAGGAACTATTTCAAAGGATAAGGGGGCAAAAGAGATGGGAATGGACGGACATAGCCCATAAACCTGCTAAGATGTGTGAGAGCTGTAGATGGACTCACAGACTTGGGAGAAAACAGAAGACAGACGAGCTCCTGCACATCCCCAGAATCTGAACCACCAAGAAAAGGCTTCTGAGCACATGGGGCCAAAGCCATTTCTTCTCTAGGTATTTGCCCTTTTCCCCTTTTTATTAGGAGGAGCCCTTTCCACAGCAAGGCCAAATAAAGACCCTCTGACCCCTTCCAGGGCAGGGGAGGGAGGGGGGAGGCAGTTGCTGCCTTTCTGCAACACGCTGGCATTCAAGCAGCTGAATTAAGCCATAGTTTCATGCCTGCTGGTCCCTCTGATTGGGCTTTTATAATTAGAACAATCTTATTCCCCGGTGTTCATGAAAGGCCTCCAACGCTGCCTCCCAGGTTTTTGTTACAGCTGAATTTAGGGGAATTTATTTAGTTTATTGCTACCACTCCCCCATCCTTATTGGCTAACGAGGGCTTTGTTCCGTGCTGGGGATTTAGGAGGGACACAGGATTAGGGCAGCCCCACCACCCCTCCTCCCTCTGTCCCAGATCTGTCTCTCTGGCATGCACAGGCTCGCTGGATTACGGCACTGTGCCATCCCGCATCCCTCTGTTCGTAAAGGGGATTGATTTACCCCTCTCAGCCCGCCCGCCTTCCTCCCCACCTTCCTCCAGCATTGGACGTGCCAGAGCTCCTCATGTCACAGCTCAGTGTGCTCTGCAAAACAAGCCTGGAAGTCCGGCCGGAAAGCGGGAGTGACAGGCGGGAGGGGGAGACTCTGCCTGAGGCAGAAAGAGGGGGGGAAAAGCGATTTACAAGGGAAGGTTTTGTGCCAGAGCACCCCGCTCTCGCACGGGACAGTTTCTCCTGCAAGTGTTTCAAGGGTGGATGCCCGTTCCCAATCCCATCTTCCAGCTATTCGGTCTCCTCAGACCTCCGGAGTTGTAGCTCTCCCTGTCCGTGGTCCTTAAACCACTCAAGGCTGCGACAGCCCAGATCCTGCACCAGACACACAGCTGCCTCACCACGATATTGTGCTAATGTCAGCAGTTTCAGCCCTCTGTGGGCTAGGGCAGGAGAGAAAGTTGTCTTTTGCTTAAAAGGACAGTATTTTGCTTAAAAGGACAGTTTCAGCCTTGAAGAAGGCACCAGAAATCCCCGTGTTTAGCTGTTCACTTCTTTCTTCCCAGTTTGGTTTTGTTTTTGTAGATTTATTCCCCCCGTGGTGATTTTCCTGGAATTTAAATATGTGCCAGCAGTTTACAAGCCTTTCCCGAGGCTGCCGTAGGCAGTACTGTGTGTTTTCACCTTCTCTGCCTTCAAGATTTAGCTCCAGGGTCCAACCCCCGTGGTAAAATACCTGGCCCTTAAAATTCCAGCCTGCTGCCATCGATCGCAACAAATCCTCTTGGGCTTACGAGTCAAACTGAACAAAACCGAGTCTTTAGGACACCAAATGCCAAACCCATAAATATGGGGGTTCAGAGGGGCAGGGGAGGGGATGGAGAAGGGAGAAGGGAGTGGAGGGCAGAGCCCTGGGCACGTGCAGGTCCCTGTAACAGGGACCACGTGTGCTCACTGGGCAGGTGGGCACTGATCCCCCTCAGCCTCACACACTGTGTTCACCCCACAGCAGAGGCACAATGAGCTATTTCCAGCAGGTAGGTCATAAATCTCTCGTTTATTGCCTTTTATTATGTTGTTTCAACAGCTCTTAAAGCTGGAACAGCGACCAATTGATAGCTGCTTTAAATCTCTTTCATTTTTCTGCCCATGTTTCTGTATTTTTCGGGGAGGGGGGCATCCATCTTTTTTGCACCTATCCACCATCTCTTTGCCTTCATGAGTCAAATCCCATCTCCTTCCCTTTATGAGCCATGTTTTATAGATCCCCCATTCGTGGTGGAAGATGGTGGTGGTTGGGGAAGAGCAGCCAAGGAGCACCCATGGAAGGGGACACTGTGTTTGTGTTTGGCTGGGAAATGCACAGGACTGGATTTATACCAAAGTGGAGGGAGAAGAGGCGACTGACTCGACAGGGAATGATTGACTGCTGTGGAATGAGGAGGAGAGACACACAATTAAAATCCTGTATTTTATAGCAGATAATTATTGCTTGGATCAATTTTCAGGTGTTCATTTGCAATTGCATTCCCTCCTCTTGAACGACTGTTTTATCCTACAGGGTAGGGGACAGCAAGTGCAACTTTGGGGATGGTATCTAAGGGTGCCAGAAGGTCTTTATGGAGATGCTAGAGGGAAGTTATGGATTAAATCCCAGTATCTCTATTCCACTTTGGTGAGACACCCCCCCCAACTGGACTACTGCCTTCAGCTCTGGGGTCCTCAGCATGGGAAGGACAAGGACCTGTTGAAACAGCTCCAGAGGAGGCCACACAAAAATGATCAGAGGTATGGAACACCTTTGCTGTGAGGAAAGGTTGAGAGATAAAGCACAGTTCAGGCTGGAGAAGAGAAGGCTCCAGGGAGCTCTTCTTGCACATTCCAGTACTTAAAAGGTGCTTATAAGAAGGTTGGGCACAAAATTTTTAACAGGGTCTGTTGCAATAGGACAGGGGGTGATGGTTTTGAACTAAGAGAGTCAATTTGGATTGGATAAAAGAAAAGTAGGTTTTTACAGTGAGGGTGGTGAGGCCCTGGCACAGGTTGCCCAGAGAAGCTGTGTCTTCCCCATTACTGGAAGAGTCCAAAGCCAGGCTGGATGGGGCTTGGAGCAACCTGGGCTAGTGGAAGGTGTCTCTGCCCATGGCAGGGGGCTGGAATGAGATGATCTTTAAGGTCCCTTCCAACCCCAACCATTCCACAGTTTTATGGTCACAAGAAGCCCCTGTGCAGCCCCTCATACAAACTCCAAGCTTTAGGATCACCAGAGACCTTTGAGTGACAGAGGTCACATCAGCAACACCAGCACTGCCAGAGCTTCCTCCACCAGTAAGCCTGGGGACAGGGATGTGATCGATGGCAGCACTGAGAATCTCAAGCATGGCCCTCCCAAAGCCTGTATTTTTCCAAGAGTTGATCAAAATCATTATTTTGGTCAGGGTAGCTATCTACTAGCAAAATAGAGTTTTCCCATGAAAACATTTCATAAGGATATGTCCACAGCACTGAAATTTATAGCAGGAAGGGGAAAAAACCAAGTGAATTATTTCAACAGTGTTTGCTCCAGTTCTCATTTTGATTACCTTCATTTTGACAGGTATTTTAATATATTCATATTTTCATGCTTTGACCTTATCAGAACGAAACGCTTCATTCCATCTAAATGAAGGGATTACAAATGGGCTGGATGAAACTCCTGGCTGTTCTGAATCTGAAAATGTGACAACTTCTGTTCCATAGAAAAGTTCCAAATTTCCATGTCCCTTACACATTCCAAACAAACTCCCCAAAGAGTGAAAAGGTCTCAAATGAACACCAATTAAAAGTCCAGGACCACTCACCACACAGTAGCCTTTTTAGGCAGGTTTCCAGCCTTCATTAAGACATCTAAACTAATTTTCATGCTGGATTCAGACTGACCATGCCTGAGAACTTGCCTGAATGGTGTTTTTTAAAAATCCAGTCCCAGGTTCTGCAGGCACATCTGATCCCATGGCCCTCAGCACATCTTTCAAAGCTCCTTTTCTGGCTGGAGGTGAGGGCTTTTAGCAGCCCATGAGCTGTAAGGAGCCCCTTTGCAGAGATTTAAGGAAAACACTGAATAAGAAAAGAATATGTGGTTAAGAATAAAAAATAACCAGTTGCAGCAATCAGCATCCTTCCCCAGTCAGAATCTCCCAGGCCTGGGGCTGTGTGCTGTGCAAGAAGCCACCAGCCAGCAGGGCCACTCCTGCACCAGCTGAAAGGCCAGGAAAAAACCATCTTCAGTTATCAAGGGTTATGTATTTCCATGCAGTGCAAAGGGATTTGTACCAATAATTCCCAGAGGCCAAGTGTGAGATTACCACACCACGTGCACGTGCCAAAAAGGGGCGTGGAGGGAGGGCTCTCCAGGTATTTAATTCACAAAACAGATTTATTCTGATCCAAAATGGGAATTAACTGCCTTATTTTCTTTTTAAATCAACAGGAGGGAGCAAAACCCAGAATTTCTCAGTGTGCTACTCCTAGTTTTACCATAAATACAGAGAGATCCCACATCTTGGGTGGCCCCACCTTTTCTGAGTTAGGTGACAATTTGTTCTCCCGGGAACTGTGACAAAAACCTGATGGATGGGATGTCAGGAGTGAGCAAATTCTCACCTGGGAGCTCTTGAAGCCAGGGGCACACCTATGGCCCAACACCTTCATCCCAGCACTCCATTATTGCATTTTTAAAGCACTCCCATATAAAGGCCAAGTGTGCATGTAAATGTTTGGGCAGCGTGAGCTGTATTGGTTAAAAGGGTGAATAGCTTGTTTAATTATTTTATTCTTTTATGACTTAAATGTGCCAATAGCTCTTGGCCAGTTTTTCCTCCGTTTTCTTGCTGAACTGAGGGCAAATTAAACTGACAAAGCAATTTTTTTCCAAGGGTAGAAGAGCTGCTTTCTAGGATGGCTGTCCAGGCAAACTTTTGAACTTTATCCAGAGGTAGAGCTGAGATTTGTAAAACTGCCTTTCTTGACTTCTTGGAGGCATCAACTAAGATTCTCTCTTTCACACAGTAAGAAAAAGGACATCCCTTTCTGAAAAGCCTCATTCCAAGGAATTTAACAGGTGATCCAAACAAATAAGCACAGAAATATATTCAAGGAAAGGTGGGATCTAATCTAAGACAAATCTGCTCCCAAACAGGAATAAGGGTGTCAAAGAGCCTCCAGAAGCTTCAGGAGTGAAACTACCCAGCTGTGTCTTATGTATAAACTTCTGAACATGGGTGGAAATTCAGAATCAAAGGCAGATTTCACCCTGACTCCCCATCAGACCCAGTAATTGTCAAATTATGGCCCTCAGCCTGGGAAACCTCGCTGGGCTCTGCTCGTGCTGAGCTGCACAAGGATGCTTCTAATCATGGCTGGCTCAGCACGGCTTTTTCCAGGCTCACAGAATCCATCCCCGTCCTGACTCCTGCCTGCAGCCTCATTTACACTTTAGAACAAGAACTGTGCTGACAGTGCAAAGTGGGACAGCTCACAGGGCCAGCCAACACCTGGCTGTGGGCACCTGCATCCCAAACCAACCCCAAACCTCCTCCCATTCTAACGCATCCCAGCCAGGACCAACACATGGTCCCAAAAGTCTGGGGCTTTGGGGTTTTTTGTATTTTTCAGCACCATTAACAGTATTTAAAAAAACACACTCTGGAAATCCTTGTGTAAGAAAAAAAGCAAAACATTTGTGAGGTTAGAAGATATCTCAGTCAGGGTTTGAGCCTTTGGACACATCTGCAGATCAATCTGCCATAGGCACGGCCTGAGTAACCCTGTGCCTCAGTTTCCTCATTTGGGGGTGTAAGGCAGCAGTATTCCCCTTGCAGAAATCTCCCTGCATTTGGGAGTTGGCACAGAGGCCACTGGTACTGGAAACCTTGCAAAACTCAAGGCTTCTGGATCCAGGACACTGCTGTTTTGCATTAGCAAGCTATTTACTAATAACCATTGTCACAGCAATCAAATATTGTCCACAGATATTCTCCACAAACAAAAACAATCCCTTAAAAATCTTCACTCTAAATCCAAGTGCCAGAGTGGGACTTGGTGACTCAGTTTCTTACTATTTCTGCCTTTAAGAGCCTCAGCACTGATAAGATTGCTTGGAGCAGCCCATGATCAGCAGTTTAATGGGTACCAGCCCAGACAGACTAATGGATCTGGAGACCAGGAAAGAGCAGGAAGGTGAGCTGAGTGCAGAATATTGAGGCTTTTAAAGCAGAAAAGTAGCAGCTAGACATGGAGTATCTGACTCACAGAGCCTTGGTGGAGACAGATATCCTCGCTGGTCATCCTCAGTCATCCATCACACCCATGAAAACCGGTCATTTCTAGAAATACTTTGCAAAATGCAAAGCAGAGCTGGGAAGGGTTCCTGGGGCGCAGGGCCAGGCACACAGCTGGGTGAGTTATTGTCCAGTCTGAGCTCACAGGCTTTTCCCTCTCCCAGAGAAGTGCATTTCCATTCCTGATGCCTCGTGTCACCACCTAGGAGGTGTCAGCGCCCCAGAGGAACCAATGTCCTTCTTCCATCCAGCACCATCCATTTCTCTGGCTCTGAGAGGTCCAGGCAAGAAAAAACCTGCTCCTCCCTCTCATAATTCTCAGACCCTAATAAATAAGGCCTACCAAGGAGAAGGAGGTATTGGATTCAGTCCTGTGCAGGGACTTGCCCAAAAGGTGTTTTACCTGCATGCTGTCACTGGTAGGTGACTTCCCAGGGCATGAGCCACAGAGGACAAACTTCAGTCCACTTCAAGATGCATTTCCAGGCAGTGCTGTCTGGGATCCAGGAAAAAAAACAAAACAAAACAAAACAAAACAAAACCAAACAAATAAAAACCAAACAAAAACAAAACCACCCCCACCCCAAAAACCACAAACAAACAAAAAAAAAACCAACCAAACAAAACCAAACTTTTGAGGCATCTGCCATATCAGAAACAGAGCAAATAGGGGAGGATTTGCTAAAAATGGCTCTCATGCTCATTCAGTGAAATCCTTGGGGTCTTTGTTTTGCTTTTTAGCGAAAAGAAAATCCTGATTAAATAGGAGGGGAAGAAGATAGAAATCAGGGCCATGCAATAATATTTTTAGGATGATGCAATAACATTTGTAGAATGATATTTATGGTTCCCAAATTGCCTGTGCAGTGGATGACCTTTTGCCCTCTCCTCCCAGGTATCAAGTGTTCCAAGGCATGAAGAAGGGTTTGCACCAGCAGGAAGATGAATGGAGAACATGTAGAAATCATTTGAGTAAACCATGAGTTGCCAGCAGAGGATTAAGTACCTGCTGGACTCCTCAGTGATATGATGCAAGGGGAGGCCAGGAGGGGCAAGAGACTGGAGAGAACAGGAGTGATCCCATAATTAAACAAGAGGCTTTCTCTAAAGCTCCCCCATGATGGATTTCCTCCTCCAGGCTAGGAACCAGCTCGTGTCATTCGGTTTTGTTCCACCAGACATAAATAACAGCTCTCCTGGGACTTGTGAGGAGGGTAAAAATGGCATTTAGCAGAAAAATTGCGACAAGGACAAGGATGCAATGGAGACCCCGAGTGAGGGATGCAGAAAGCAAGGCGGAGACAAATTGCCGATTTATCCTGACCTTCCCTCGAGGCATCCCTCCCCCTTCCCAAATCCACAAAGTGAGCAAGGCAGAAATCAATAGCTCAGCACAGCCACAGAGATGGTGAGGAAAGCAGCAGATGCACAGGAGGGTAGATCAGGAAACAAAACCTTGCCGGGAAACAAGATTCCAGGGCAGGGAAGGGAGAGACATCCTATTTCACAAGGGATGCCATCCTTGTGACAACACCTGGACAACTTTAAACCAGGAGATTTCTATGCACACTGCAGGGGGTGGTAAATCATCCTCTGGCTGCTGGAAACCAACATATGGGAAGGGAAGGCTTGTCCAAGTCAGAAAGAAAAGCCCTGGGAGAATTTATCTGCCCTGGGAATGCTGAACCTTCCCTCTCATGCTGCTGGGTGTGCTGGTTTTAAGAGTCCTGCATCAGTCTTGGCCCTGGGGGCCCAGGGAAACTCATGTCATATAAGTCATTTGGTCCCACAGTCAGTACCAGAGACCCTTAGACAGTCCTCAGCCCTGATCCACCACCCTCCCCAGTTAGGCCTATGTGTTTACCTGTGGGGCTGTGCAATAAAGCAGGAACTGGTTTAGGTTATGACCTGAACTCAAAATATTTATCCCAACCCAGATGGCAAACCTTCATGAACACTCTTCCCCCTACCACACACCCGTGAGAGGGCTGAGCAGATGAGCAGCAATCTTGCAGATGCCTGGAATTTTATCAGACTTTTTTGTCACTTTGCTGTCCAGTGAGGAGCTAGGATTTCGAGAAGACCTGCCTTTTGCAAATCTTGAGATGATACCTGCAAATGTGAGCTCAGGCTTGCTGATTGCATTCATCTGAATTTCTGAGCAATGTCTTTTTGGACAGAGAAGTGCCCCTCCTCCTACAGACCTGAACCCCTCAGCTAATGCCCTACAAGGATGCTGTGAACCTTTTCACTTTAGTTACTTAAATTAAATTGCATCTCATCCCTGGCAAATTTAAAAGGCAGTCGGCAAACCCTCCGAAGAAGAGCCATGATGGAATTCAATTTGTGCCCACTCCAGGCTGGCAGGGATTTACAGCCCTGCTCGATACAACACAATGCACTTTATTCTTTTTATAGGGCAGCCTGAATGCAATGGTGTAACAGGCACGTTGGAGGGAAGCTGAAGAACAAGAAGGAAGGGATTTTATAGGTACAATAAGATTTATGAAGACAGACTTTTCTCTGGAGCAGGAAGCAAGGGAATTTCCAAAAGCAGCAGAATACCTCTGCTCTTCTCCAGTTGCCTTTAATGGTGAGAGGAGTCAATTGTGTCCTTGAGGGGTTTTATCATAAAATAGAAAGGAACACACCGTGGCATGGTGCTCAAGTGACTCAATAGCACAGGGGGTGTCCTGGGGTCCAGCCACATTCACAGGCCTTAATTCTCCACACCACTCCTTTTTTGGGATAGTGAGGAGAAAGACTTTGGGTCTAGAAGGATATGGCTGGAAAGCAGGACCCTGGCTGAATTTATGAGAACATGCAATGCAAACCCTGCTGCTCCCATTGATGGTCCCATCAGAAGAGTAGTGCCTTGGGATTGTGGGAAGTTATGAACTCTCCACAGAGCCTAATTGTCACCTCAGCAGAAGAGGAAAATGTCAGCTGAGATTGTCCTCTCTTGCAGGGCATCCTGACACAGCCAAGGCTGACTTTGCATCCAGCTCATAAACCGCTGTTTGAACTGCAGTGAAATCTTCACTGGGCTGCAGACAAAGCCTGAGCAAAGTCTGGGATGTCAGAGCACTTCTCGCATGTCACTCAGCTTCCTGAGAAGTCAAGATGCTGATATTTACCTAAGAAATCCGTAAAGCACTTGGAGACTCTCAGATGTAAAGATGTGTGGGGTAAAGGAGCTCTGCCAACAGCTGTGTGTGAGAGCTCTCCCCCTCCAACAGGCAGAGAAGCCTTGTAAGACCCCCTTGCTGTGGGTCAGCAGAACATCTGCAACAACACAGCAGGTTCAAAGCACGTTTGGGAAATCACAGGGCACCTCCAGGAGGGAAGGGAAGGGTAGGTGGGTCTTTTGAGGTCCCCCTAATACTTTTGAGATGCCCAGACCCATCATGGGAGCTGGGACAGACCCCTTGAGGTCTCTCAGGGGCAGGAGACACGACACTGCTGTTCATTCCTTACCTCTGTCCTCCTTCCCCAGCTGCCAGCACTGCAGCTCCTCTGGCTCCAGCTGCAATTAATTGGAAGATCTCCCACTGATTCCTGATTAGCTGCTTTTGATTAGGGTTTAATGACTTCAGTCGGCCCCTAATTCACAGGGATGAGCTTCAAAATGCCTGAGAACAGCTCAAACACAGTTACATTTTCTCCCACCTTGGAGCCACCACTTAAGCTCTGTACACACCAGCCCTCTCCCTCTGACCCTGCATTATCTGCTGTGTCCTGATCCTTGACTTAGGTCTGAGTGGAAGTCTCAGTATCAGTATAGTCCTGAATCCTGGAGTGAGTTGGATTGCTCCCTCTCCCTGACTCCATCTTCCCTCTCTCTTTTCTCCTCCATCCCAAAACTTTCACTCAATACCTGGAGAAAGGCAGAGGGGAGGGAGTTTGCCCTGGCAGGGAACAGAGGTAAATCCAAACACTGGGACCTACTGTGCTCCTGGGGACCAGGAGCTGCATCTCACTTTGACCTTCAAGGCTCAGCTGAAGGTCATGTCACACTGCCTGCCTTGTCACCAGCCAAAGAGGTTGTAAACACTGGTTTCAGAGGCTGCCTTGCCTTTTGAAGATCTGAAAGTGCATTTATCTTCCCGAGACATGCATTAATCTACAACTACCGGTGAAGATAAGGGGATGAAAAGAGGCTTGGTGGGAAGGAAAAAAATAATAAAATGAGCCAAAATAAAGTAAAGTAATAAATAAAATAAACCAAAATAAAATAAAACAAATAAAATAGAACAAAATAGAGGACCGATTTTCATCAGTAAGAAGAGGTTCATGGACTCTTTCCCAGCGCCTTAGGCACGATGTCCCATCACACCTTATCACAGCTCTTCACTGTACCAGACTCACCCCCACAGTGTGAGGTGACAGCTTACAAAGTGTCTGGGTCCCCTCACTGTGCCCCAAGCCCCACAGCTGATCTCTTTAATCACCACATCTCAGTGACAAGGCAAAGAAGCAACTCAGCTCCCAGCAAGACAACTGCAAAGCAGGTTGTTTATTTTCTCTACAGGCAGCTTTGACTCTGTGTCTGGGAAGAGCCACGCAGGGCCAGAGCTTGGAAGTCTGCAGGAATAACCCCTCAGTGCTCTGTAGCTGGACCTCAGCTCCTGCTGTGGGAGGCAAAGAAAATAAGCCTGGGTTAGAATTGAAGTTGCACTGAGCAGATCAGCTCCTTGCTCCAAACCTCAGTTTCCCCAGCTGGAAGGGAAGGAAATCAACATCATCCTTCCACAGAAAGGGAGTTGGAGATCAAGGACCTTTTGGGCTTTGTTTTGGATCATTCCCTGCAGTCAGCTCCTCTGCTGACCTCCCCAGAAGCCTCGTGGGTTCAGGCACTGAGGGGTTGCTGACAAAAAGGAAATAAAGGGCACAAAAATTACTCATTTTGGAGGTAGGCACACTACAGCTGACAGGAGGGGAAGAGGGACCTAGCTGCCCCCAAAAACCTGTGGGACACAGCCCCCCAGACTGTGTGAAGGGTGGGGAAAGGTGGGCTCCTCCACCATGCAGTGTAGGGGTGGTTGGTCCTGAGCTCCAGGCTGCTCATCTGCACGGCAGCTGAAGGGGGAGGTGAGATTAGGGAGAGGGAGAGTGAGGGGAAAGTGCTGCAGAACTAATAAAGAGCTTTGAAGGGGATGGGGAATTGAGTCAGGTTCACATTAAAGGGCAAGGAAATGAGCGCTGAGATGAAGGCGCCTGCAATTTCAAATGTATCAAGCTGATAAATAAATAAAGTTAAAAGAATGACTTTCAATTACATTTGAAAGTGAAAAATAGGGAGAACTAGGGTGACAGAAAAAACTCCTCCAAACACAGACTCTCTGGAGCTCTGGTCTTGCCTTGGGGATGGTTTCCTTGCCTGCCTAGGTGAGTCCAGGGCAGCCACCAGCAGTGGCAGGGCTGTGGGGACAGGAAGATCAAGTGAGCGTGGCTTTAATGCCTCAATTTAGGTTCATTCTGATCAGCTTTAAAAAGCAATTTAGGCCCACTAAGCTGCACCAGGTCAGAAGCAGGGATAGATGGCAAGTCTCATTTGAAAGCCAAACACACATTGCCATCATTAACAGTCCCGTCCCACTAATGACAATAATATTGTTGGCTTAGAGTGTTACTTTCACTGAGGACCTGGAGAAGAATGAAATGCTTTCCTCTAATGTGGGTCTAGTGCCAGGAGCTGCCTGTAAAATCCAGATAAGACTTCCCAGCACAAACTTCTGATAAGGGAATTAGCAGGTAAACTTTAAACTTAGGGGAAGGCGCAGGCGAGGAGAAGAGGGAAAGTGTTTGTGATCTCTTCTTTGGTGTTAGCTTGCCAAGCTGAATCTCACCAGACCCAGGTGACAGGCTGCCTGGATCCTCATCCCTATTATCTGTCTACATTGGGAAATTATCTGTTTCCATAACTGAGGCTAAGGCCTCATCCCCTTAAGGATCCATCTTTTTCCTCTCCCTTCTATTTTCTTATCTCCCCAGAGACTGCCCTCCACACTATTCCTAGCACAGCTCTTCTCTTAAGTGGAAACTAATTCCTTGTCAAATCGTTTGGGGATCTTTCATCCCATTTTTTGTTTCAGCCACAAATTCAACCAGAGCTAAAAATGAATGTATTGGCTCCGGATAACTCCCCTCCTTGCAGATGCCCCGTGCAAGAACATCTGCCATGGTCAGGATGAAACCCCTGGAGGAAATGTCCTCTGGGGAAGGAATCTTTCACCCTCCTTGTCCACTTTGCCAGAGCTCAAGCTCATGAAAAGCTAAAGCTGATCCACCAGAAACCCTGTGACATCTGAAACTGGGAGAGGAGGATAATAAAGAAATGAGTCCATTCCTACTATCAGTTCAAGCTGTACATCCAGCAGATACTTGGTTTAGGAGTGATACATTTCATTTATCTTTGGTCCCTATTTGGCTGGACAGATTAACTCCAGGGATATTTCTTCAAGGTCTCTTCTACAACTAAATACTCATTCCAGTCCTGGAGAACCAGGAATAATATGTTAAGATATATCTTACAGCCTGAAAAAGGCAGATTCATCCCAGATGAAATACTTGGGGAAAAAAAAAAAAAAAAAAGAAAAAGAGACCCAGTTGGATGAATTTC